ACCAGATGGACCTCATAGATGTATATAGAATATTCCACCCAAAGTTCCATGTGTGCAGAATATTCAAGCACACATGGAACTTTCTCTAGAACAGACCACATACTGGGTCACATATCAGGTCTCAAGGTATACCAAAAGACTGAGATTATTCCCTGCATATTCTCAGACCATAATGCTTTGAAACTGGAACTCAATCACAAGAAAAAGTTTGGAAGAAATTCAAACACTTGGAAGCTAAAGACCATTCTGCTCAAGAATGTTTGGGTTTACCAGGAAATCAAGAAGAACTTAATGGAAACCAATGAGAACAAAGACACACCAGTCCAAACCTATGGGATACAGCAAAAGTGGTCCTAAGGGGTAAATACATAGCCACCCAAGCCTCACTCAAAAAAAACCAGAAAAATCCCAAATACACAAACTATCATTACACCTTAAAGATCTGGAGAATCAACAACAAATTAAGCCTAACCCATACCCAAGAAGGGAAATAATTAAGATTAGAGCAGAGATCAATGAATTAGAAACCGGAAAACAGTAGAACACATCAGCAAGACTAGAAGCTGGTTCTTTGAAAGAATTAATAAGAGCAATAAACCACTGGCCAGGCTTATCCAAAAGAAAACAGAAAGGACCCAAATTAATAAAATTATGAATGAAAGGGGGAGAGATCATGACTAACACCAAGGAAATAAAAACAATTATCAGAAATTATTATCAACTGCTATATGCCAATAAATTAAGCAACCTGGAAGAAATGGATGCAGTCCCAGAAACCTATAAACTACCAAGACTGACACAGGAAGAAACAAACAACCTGAATAGACCAATAACCAGTAACAAGATTGAAGCAGTGATCAAAAATCTCCCAAAAGACAAGAATCCAGGACCTGATGGATTCCCTGGGGAATTCTACCAAACATTCGTAGAAGAAATAATATCTATTCTCCTGAAACTGTTTAAAAAAATAGAAACAGAAAGAAAATTCCAGACTCATTCTGTGAGGCCAGCATTACCTTGATCCCAAAACCAGGCAAAGACCCCATCAAAAAGAATTTTAGATGAATATCCTTGATGAATATGGATGCCAAAATTATTAACAAGATCCTAGCTGATAGGATCCAACAGTACATTAAAAGGATTATCCACCAGACTAGGTGGGATTTATCCCTGGGATGCAAAAGTGGTTCAACATTTGCAAATCAATCAATGCGATAAAACACATAAATAAAAGAAGAGACGAGAACCACATGGTCCTCTCAACTGATACAGAAAAAACATCTGACAAAATACAGCATCCTTTCCTGATTAAAACTATTCAGAGTATAGAGATAGAGGGAACATTCCTCAACTTCATAAAATCTATTTATGAAAAACCCACAGCAAATATCATTCTCAATGGGGAAAAGCTGAGAGCTTTTTCCCTTAAGATCAGGAACATGACAAGGGTGCCCACTCTCGCCACTATTATTCAACATAGTAGTAGAGGTCCTAGCAACAGCAATCAGACAACAAAAAGAAATAAAAGGTATTCAAATTGGCAAAGAAGAAGTCAAACTCTGTCTCTTCACAGATAACATGATACTTTATGTGGAAAACCCAAAAGACTTCACCCCTAAATTACTAGAACTCATACAGCAATTCAGTAATGTGGCAGCATACAATCAATGCACAGAAGTCAGTTGCTTTCTTAGAAGTTAAAAATGTAACTGTAGAAAGAGAAATTAGAGAATCGATTCCATTTACAATAGCACCAAAAACTGTAAGATACCTTGAAATAAACCAAAGAAAGAGGATCTATACTATACGAACTATACTATAGGAACTACGGAACGCTCATTAAAGAGACTGAAGAAGACACAAAAAGAAGGAAAAACATTCGATGCTCATGGATCAGAAGAATAAACATTGTTAAAATGTCAATGCTGCTCAGAGCAATCTATACTTTCAATGCCATCCCGATCAAAATACCAATAGAATTTTTCAAAGTGCTGGAACAATCTTAACATTTGTATGGAAACAGAAAAGACCCCGAATCATCAAGGAAATGTGGAAAAGGAAAAACAAAGCTGGGGGCATCATGTTGCCTGATTTCAAGCTATATTACAAAGCTGTGACCACCAAGACAGCATGGTAGTGGTACAAAAACAGACACATAAACCAATGGAACAGAACAGAGAGCCCAGATATGGACCCCCGACTCTATGGTCAAATAATCTTTGACAAAACAGGAAAAAATATCTAATGGAAAAAAGACAGTCTCTTCAATAAATGGTGCTGGGAAAATTGGATAGCAATGTATAGAAGAATGAAACTTGACCATTCTCTTACACCATACACAAAGATAAACTCAAAATGGATGAAAGACCTCAGTGTGAAACAGGAATCTATCAAAATCCTAGAGTAGAACATAGGCAGTAACCTCTTCGACATCAGCCACAGCAGCTTCTTTCAAGATACGTCTCCAAAGGAAAGGGAAACAAAAGCGATAATCAACTTTAAAAACCTTCTGCACAGCAAAGGAAACAGTCCACAAAACAAAGAGGCAACCCACAGAATGAGAGACGATATTTGCAAATGACACTATAGATAAAGGGCTAATATCCAGGATCTATAAAGAACTTCTCAAACTCAACACCCAAAACCAAATAATCAAGTTAAAAAAATGGACAGAAGACATGAACAGACATTTCTCCAAAGAAGACATACAAATGGCTAACAGACACATGAAAAAATGTTCATCATCATCAATCATTAGGGAAATTCAAATCAAAACCACATTGAGATACCACCTTACACTAGTTAGAACAGCAAAAATTGAAAAGGTAAGAAACAACAAGTGTTGGAGGCTGTGGAGAAAGGGGAACCCTATTAGGCTGTTAGTGGGAATACAAGTTGGGACAGCCACTTCGGAAAACAGTGTGGCCTTTCCTCAAAAAATTAAAAATAGTGCTACCCTATGACCCAGCAATTGCACTGCTGAGTATTTACCTCAAAGATACAGATGCAGTGAAAAGAAGGGCCATCTGTACCCCAATGTTTATAGTAGTAATGCCCACAATAGCCAAAGTGTGGAAAGAGCCAAGATGCCTTTCAATACATGAACGGATAAAGAAGATGTGGTCCATATATACAATGGAATATTCATCAGCCATCAGAAAGGATGAATACCCAACTTTTGCATCAACATGGACGGGACTGGAGAAGATTATGCTAAGTGAAATAAGTGGAGCAGAGAAAGTCAATTATCATTCAGTTTCACTTATTTGTGGAACGTAAGGAATAGCATGGTGGGCATTAGGAGAAGGAAGGGAGAAATGAAGTGGGGGAAATCCGAAGGGGAGATGAATGATGAGAGGCTATGGACTCCAAGAAACAACTGAGGGTTTTGGTGGGGAGAGGGGTCGGGGGATGGGTTAGCCTGGTGATAGGTACAAGGAGGGCATGTATTGCATGGGGCACTAGGTGTTATACACAAACAATGAAGCATGGAACACTACATCAAAAACTAAGGATGGACTGTTATGATAGATTAACATAACATAATAAAAATATATATATTAGAGAATGTCTAGCTATACATAGGAGACAAGTAAGAGGAAGAATCTTTCATTAAATAGAAGACTGTGCACAATAGGAAAAAGAAACTCAGAATGCAACTTAATAGAAGAGAAGGAGGACAAGCGTTTGGGAAAAAAAACAATTATCAAATGGTCAAATGTGACTGAAAGGTCAATCAGGCTCTGGAATGAAAGAAGTCTTATAATACAGACTATCTATCTTCTGAGTAGTAAAAGAAGGCAGGAACATGGAGGGCTGGAGGGTGTTCAATTTTCAAGTGAGAAGAAAGATTCACAAACGAATGGAGACAATTTTAAGTTGTCATTAGGAGAATAAAAAAATTATAAAGAGATTTGAGGTCTCAAAAGACGCAGGCAGTCAATATTTGAGTGGACATAAATTTGCAAAATTATGTGACTTTTTTCAAGCAGGCTGGTATCTTGTGATAAACTCCAGAGAGAGAACTACTTCGCAGGAAAGCATGAGAAATTCACTTGTAGACAATTCTGAAGATTGGTAAACATGGGAAAGAACATGGAGTCTGCAATCAGATCTGGGAGTTATCTGCATAGAAATGATAATTTAAACCAATGGTATATGTAGTATTTATATGTCACAATTTCTATCAGTAAAAAAAGGTTATTTTCTCTCTTACAGAGAAATAATAACTAATCTAAAAGTAGTTTCTATCTCTGTTAATAGGTATGGATTTGTTTTCGAGAACCTTAAAATTGTCCTATTCTATTTTACTTATTTGTTCTTTTTAAAAAGATTTTATTTATTTGACAAAGAGAGACACAGCGAGAGAGGGAACACAAGCAGGAGGAGCAGCAGAGGGAGAGGGAGAAGCAGGCTTCTGGCCGAGCAGGGAGCCCGATGTGGGGCTCAATCCCAGGACCCTGGGATCATGACCTGAGCCAAAGGCAGATGCTTAATGACTGAGCCACCCAGGCGCCCCAAAATTGTCCTATTTTAACTTGAAGAGTAATCCTATTGCAACCAAATGGTTACCAGAATCCTAAAATTGTAATTAGCAAGAGCATATTGTTGAAAATTTGCCAGAATTGCAAATGTAAGCTTGCGTATAACAGTTACTGAACCAATGTATTATGGAAAAATTCTCCCATCCCTGCCTCTTTGTCTATACAATGAATTACTTCCATATAACATTTCAGTGCTTCTAAAATTCTAAATTACAATTGACACAGACTACTTTATCATGACACCAAGTTTTCAGAACAAAAAGGAATCATTAGAGCCCCCACTTTAATAATGATTAACCTAAGATACAGTTGCTGCATACTTCTTTGTTACTACTGACATTATGCTCAGATTCAAAGCTTCTTCTACCAGTAACAGAGACCCTGAATAAATTCACCTGGGCTAAAAGTCACTTCACTTACAAGACAACATGGTTACTCTTATTAAAATTTTCATACCATTTGGTGATGCCGTAACATTCTTTAATAATATCCTGAAGGACTGCTCGATAGAAGAGTGATTCAGTAGGCAGCTGAAAAAAATGTAGATACATATGAACATGAGAAACAAAAAAACATAAATCGAATCAATACTAGGGAATCAGGACCATAAGGGAATGTTAGAAACCCAACTTTGTTGCAAAACATAGAGGACACTTTAAAAATTTTTCTATTCTAAGTTACATTAAAACCCTGAGACTAATACTCACTGAGGAGGTGATTCTGCATGAAAATAGAAGAAACTATAAGAGAAATGGTAGTGAATGAGGAAGAAAAAGCAAAATTAAAGAAAAATGAGTTAATGGCTCAAATGGAGTGCCGTTCAATTTAAAATGTGGACATACGATGGAATACTATGCAACCATCAAAAGAAATGAAATCTTGCAATTTGCAACAACGTGGGTGGAACTAGAGGGTATTATGTTCAGTGAAATAAGTCAGTCAGAGAAAGACAATTATCATATGATCTCTCTGATATGAGGAATTTGAGAGGCAGGGCAGAGGGTTGTGGGGGGTAGGGAAGGAAAAAAGGAAACAACATGGGATCTGGAGGGAGACAAACCATAAGACACTCTTAATCTCATGAAACAAACTGAGGGTTGCTGGGGGGTGGGGGATAGGGATAGGGTGGTGGGGTTATGGACATTGGGGAGGGTATATGCTATGGTGAGTACTGTGAAATGTATAAGCCTGATGATTTACAGACCTGTACCCCTGGGGCAAATAATACATTATATATTAATAAAAAATTTAAAAAAATAAATAAAATGTGGAAATAAACTTTCACGATTGCCAAATCATTTCTGGAGCCTGTAAGAGAGCAGTCAGGTAGAATAAGTGCACAAGAGAAGAGAACATGGATTTGTCCTAATGGCGGTAGAACAGATAGTATCACTTAGGATTCACACCTGAAAGAGAAGGTACTATTCTAACTAAGGACATTCTAAAAATATGTCTGAGGCCTGAAAGGTCATAGCACTGGCTACTCTAGGGTTTGAAAGGGCATGCTTTTTGTTCTTTGGAAAGGTTAGGATCAGGTGTCCATGAAGGTTTTCCAAAGGGAAGAGGGTATGGCGGAAGAGAAAGGTCCCAGTGAATCATGGTATTTCTGAAGAAGCAGAGGTAAAAAAAAAAAAAAAAAAAAAAAAAAAAA